GAGAGAGAGAGAGAGAGAGAGAGAGAGAGAGAAGCAAGATGGGCATTTCTGTGTGTCTTGCATTCATAAAACAGAGTAAACTGAAGGCAAGAAGGTAGATTGATAAGTAGGTTTGGCGCTTCTATATTGGTAGATTGCAGATCAATCATTCAAAGCATATCCTTCAAGATGTTCTTGAACATTTCCCATCACAGCACTGCATGCTTTCATACAACCTAAAAAGAAAATCGTTTTACTTCTTTGAAGGATAATTGCCATTTTCCATAGGTGTGGTGTGGTGTGGTGTGGTGGGAAGAAGGAACCTTCACCAGAACTCAGATGCATGCCCTGTTTCACTGACCATTTTTCTCAATATTATCTAATAAGAAGGATGTAATTGAAATATCCGTGACTCATCATATCTTGGCACATGAACACTGATCCTCCGACTCCGAAGACGCCACAGCAGAGATGTTCTACATACAAAAGGAAATAAATAATGTAGCAGATCACATAAATAAAAACACCAAGTTATCGAGAATCAAACATCCATGGATTGATTATATAGCCTTCCAAGTGGATCTCTAGAATAGCAAGCCAAATGACAACCAAATTGCACTCATTCATCTCACCACTGACTTCCTCATCCACACATAGAAACAAGATGAAGAAGCCAGAGAGTTATCCATCATATATGGCCTCCCTCCTCTGCATTCTCTCCAAGACAAGTCATATTGCTTCTCACGCTCCCAAGAACCAAAAATCACTATTGAGGACACCACTGTTCTGGTGCTCCCTAACCTAATGATTGCTGGTTGCTTCTCCGGTGCTCGATATCCTGGAAGAGCTGTTGACGAACCTCGATGAGAATGTGTAGTAAAAGTGGTTTGAATCATCGTCGAGAGCGGTTCCGAATCCATTGCGATCGAAGTTTCTGGAGTAGCTCAGGGGATCATATTGGCAGTGGAAGGTGGTGGGTCTGGTGGCCATGCACAACATCTTGCTTTGCTTCCTCAGCTTCCTCATCAGCTTCCCAAGGCCACAGTTCGACCCACAGTATTGTTGGCCGGTGGTGGCGGTGGCAGCAGCTCTGCCGCTTCGGCGGCAGCCGGAGGTGGTGGTGGAGCCTGCTTTCCGACCCACAAGGATGGTTACATGATCCATCTCTCTTTCTCTCTCTCTCTCTCTCTCTCTCTCTCTCTCTCTCTCTCTCTCTCTCTCTCTCTGCTCTCGAGTCTTTCTATCTCTATCACACACAGAGGTTGAAGGAGAGAGAAGAGGCTCTCTGTTGTTCTTTTTGGCTCCTACGACCAAGCATCTCTCTCGGTAGCACTCTTTTTTATAGTGTTACCATCTACCTATCTATGTATGTACCTATCAGGAGTTCAAGAGAGCCGGCATGACGAGGGGTGAACAGGAGATACCTACCATGATCAACAAGCATGCATGTGCAATGGATGACGTTTTCCGAGCGATTCCCAGTCTCTTTTGTATCTGGACTGCTGTGAGCCATGTGAAACTGTGACAGTGTGCTGGATCTGAGACCTCCATCGATCAGTGTTCCTTGCAGTCCAACAACTACATCACACCTGCTGCTTAAAATACATTGCCAACGGAGAGAGAAAGAGAGAGCGATGAGGATCGGCAATGTATTTTGTTTTGCGTTTCTGTTGTTCAAATGTACTTATAGCTTCTTTGATGTGTCAAACACAAGTCTATGAAAGATTTACTGATGCAGTATTTCACTTCTCTGTGATTTAACATAATCAAAAACAGTTTCTTCACACTTTAAATTAAGAATTCTGTACCTAATAGGCAAACCAAGCAAAGCCCGTATTATTAGCATTAACATCTTGAAAACCCTGTTTGGAGTAAATTAATTGTTTAGCTAGCTGACAGGTACTCAAGAACACAGTGCCACGCTGGTGTTGTCCATCGCACAACACAATGAAAACTCGGTAATAATCATCCAGTGGACTAGCTAAACCACTTTTCAATTGGCATCCTAAGGAAGACGGGGTAGTTCTTTGTCTGGTCAACCAAAAACTAGCAACTTGGGAATCCATCTCCACCCAATCTTAATATCTCACGATGTTCCAAATCTATGTTAATCCTATTCTACATTTCTGTCACTGTTGCCGTTGCTGGCAAAGATGTTGAGATTCTCTCGAGAGGCATCGTCTTGGTATAACCAAGAGTAATGAGACGTAGGATTGATTAGGGGCGTAGCCAGAGTAGTATACATTATCACCGGTTGAGAGTCTCATCACAACCTGCTCCTCCCTGTCCTCTGCCCCGAGTGTTTGTTTTTCTTTCTTTTTAATGTGGGATTCAGGTAAATGTCCAAATCCATAGTGTAGGTAAATGAATCCACCCAAGTAGTAGTCTGTTCTGAATCCGTAGTGTATGTCATGAACTTGGATTATTTAACTTGACGTCCTAACTTCTCTTCTTATCATGTCAGTATTGATTTAAGTTCATGGCAGGCCAATGGTTCCAAACTAGTTTGCGACTGAAACGGAGACATATGAACTGGAGGTTAGTATATGAGATTTGGATGCATTAGCTGTTTCTCCTCGAATGGACTCGATCATAATGGAGTACTAGTGTCTGTCTGTAGCAAATGACAAATGATGGTGGTGGGGCCTTGCTGATGTGATTCTGAGAGGTGATACTAACATCGACTCCATTTGAATTCCGGCGAACTCCTTGGAACTATAGTAAGTAGTGGACATAAGAAATAGGCCTCTGTATTATTATTATTCATGTGGTTTTAACACTGCTGCAGGCAGCGCAGCCATGTAAAATAATCCTCCTTTTTTTTGGGTTCATTTTACCAGTGATCACGTGAGCTGAAATGAGTCATCCGTCCGTCCGTCCATGTGAGGAGAACCACATGGCTTTGGGGAACCATTCCCTCATCACATGCACGTGTATGCGACTGATGGTCAACACATTTCAGTTCTTCTTCGTGTTCTTCTTATTATACGCTGCTCGGACGACTCGTACGAGAAGGTTAAATTAATGTTCCAAATCTTTGAAGAATACTTTTGATCCATCTCAGAAGCAAAGCAGCACATGTTTTGATCCATTGCAACATATGATGTCCCCAAAGATAGATAGATAAACAACAACAACAACAACAACCAAGAGCTCACCATTTTGAAGAAAAAGACTGCATCTTGTTAGAGAGAAAGCTACAACAGTTCCATACTGTGCTTTCCCTTCCTTCATATATAGGAGGAGTTTGAGGATGATAAATGGAGGGTGATGTTGGTAGCTATTAACTCCTCCTCCTCCTGCATTTGGATGACACCCAGGGGAGGGGAAGGAAGTATATTAGATGATGCAATCATCAAAGTCCATGTGCAAGTAAAGTGATCATGTTATGATGGTCCCAAAAGTTCTTAGCGGAGACGGTGGATGGGCAGCAATAATTTTTCATTCTCGAGACAAAGTTCCAGACAGGATTGCAGGCTGGTCCAGCATTATTTACTAGTACGTTTACGAGTCAATGTCTCATCTCTCGAGATCACCTATATTTCTCGATCTCAAAACCATCCTTCTGAACGCCTAAATCTTACCATTTCATCGAGGTGATTTAATGCTTTTCTTCCCAGCTCTCATCTGATTAGCGTAAAGGTTTCCTCTATTTGCACAAGGTAGGTAGGTAGGTAGGTAGGTAGGTACATTATGAGAAAACCTTTCGTTCGCTTGTATTTTCCTTTGAAATGTCAGTCTACCTTAAGGTTGATTCTTGTTCATCACTTATTACAAGTATTGTCGTTATACTTTCAAAAACATGTAGATAAAAAGTCCATAAGGATAATAATTATAGAGATAATTGAGTCACCGATACGGATGAATCTAATTGGAGGTCATTTTGACCAAGTTTACTGGGACTGTGATGATTTTTTTATATTAGAATATATAATATAATTAAAGAATCATTAGTACCTCGAATATATATAAAATATGTTTCTGGTTTAACATGTTCTGCATTATTGTTTATATTCTCTTCATGGATCTACCAAGAACTGTGCCATCTAACCTTGGGCTTTGGGAGAGCCCAAGTCTAATGCAGAGAGTCTGGCTGGAATGCCAGGATGAACGCTGCAGGTCATCACTTGTGTATTGTTGATCCGTGAAACTAGTCTTCCTCATGGCTACGTTCGAGTCTTAGTCGCAGAAGACAGCTACTAGTCTACGGTCAAGACCTTGGTCCGAGAACAGTTAAGACTTTTTTTGTCTTCTCCATTGTCCGATGCCGCACCTCTATCATTGTATCGGAGTGGTGGGTTGTGAAGGTGGTGGTCGTCGGTTGATTGTTCCAAAAGACAATAAGGCATGCAATGTTTCCAGAATCAGATAATATGATATGCTCTACCGATATAAAATCTAAAATCGCAACAAGTTGGAGTAGACATGGGAGTGCTAGTTACCGAAAGAAGAGGAGCATAGAGCATAAGAAGCAGTGGAGGAGGGGTGAGGATGGTGAGGTGATACGATCAATTTATTAACCGGAAACATCTGCAGGAATCAGCCCAAACGAGGCTTCAATGTCTGTGCACAGCTGACCCTCAGGATGGAGTAAGATATCAATTGAAAACTAGGGATCTTTAAACAAAGGGGGCAAAAAAAAAAAAAGTATGGCTGGGGTGGGTCAGATGAACTTTGATGAAAGAAACCATAAGAAAATTCAGTTAGTCTCAGTTCTTGCAATCCATCCACCAATGGGAGGTTTGTGGCAATCAACCAAAAAACAAAAACATTCTTTCGATCAATCTCTGTAGTGGTTAGTTATAACTCTTGGATCGATCATTTCTGTGACGAAGGCCATTTCACTACATCATAATCATCAGCACCTTATTGCAAACAATTAGCCAATCGATCGTTCTTCATCTTGACCACTATTAAACACACTTAAATGTTGTCATGAAGAAGAACAACAAAGCTACAATGATCGTGTTTCCGGACCATTCAACTTGAGGTAAGGTGAGATTTTCACGGTGCTATCTATCGCATCACACTGTCATTCAACCATGCCTTCCTTGCCTGACACAAGCTCCAAAATGTTTCCGAAATAGGTTTACTAGAAACAATCATCAACAACATGTTTTGGAATTTCCGCTTCTTGGACTCACAGGAAGCTTCTATGTATGCTTCAGAAAGAAATGTCGACAGGCTCCATGTCAAGAAAGGTTGATCTTCATTGCTTTCATACATTACAACTGTTGTGTTCTGCAAGATTGGAATTTTCTTGAAACGCCTCCCGGATCATCATCCTGTACGATGAACTGTCAACTTCTTCGTGTGTATAATGCATGGAACGGAAGGAACAAGGAATGCTGATAACATTTTTAGTGGTGGTTGCAATGATGATATATAAACACAGTGATGTTTGTCCTTTTCGATTGAAGTTTCATAATCGAGAGTTGGTGCATCGACATCTGATGCTACCACGAAATTCCCATCAATCTTTATCAAGTGCATCGTTTCAAAAATTTTACTGGATGATGCAGAAGCAATATTTTACCACTTAGAAAGTTGTTCGACAGGAAAGATAATACAGCAGAAAGATCAACATGTAAGTAAGCTCAAGTCAATAGTTGATCCTCATGTGCTTGATGATAGAAATTATACTTGTTTGCTGGAATCCACATCTTTCTGCAGGTATAGACTACCGAAAGAATACAAAACAACAAAATTGATGCGATGGGCCGCGAACAAAGAGAGATACTGTTCGACTGGACGGATCCAAAAACGAGAGCAAGTTCGTGACAAATGTTAATTCAACAGCCAGGTCACTTTATGCAGACACTCAACCTTCGTCTTCATGGACTTACAGAGATACTGTTCGACTGGATGGATTCAAAAACGAGAGCAAGTTCATGATAAATGTTAATTTAACAAGCAGTTCACTTTATACAGACACTCGACCTTCGTCTTCATGGACTTACAGAGATACTGTTCGACTGGATGGATCCAAAAACGAGAGCAAGTTCATGATAAATGTTAATTTAACAACCACTTCACTTTATACAGACACTCGACCTTCGTCTTCATGGACTTACAGAGATACTGTTCGACTGGATGGATCCAAAAACGAGAGCAAGTTCATGACAAATGTTAATTTAACAACCAGTTCACTTTATGCAGACACTCAACCTTCGTCTTCATGGACTTAAATCGACAAATCAGTCCAGATTTCGGAATACATCCACAGCAATCATAAGACCACCCTCTCTCCGATAGCTTTCTTTCGTCAACAAGGTAAGAGGTGTTGTATCGACAGATCCATCGGAGTCACCAGTCTTTTGTTCCACCACCTTTGGAATAAAAACAAAAGATAAGAACCAGCTCGCGTGCTGATTTGACATGAGCATTAAAATTATGCTTTATTCTGAATTCAACTTTATTTCCATGTAGAGTCTTATCATTCCTACAGAGGACAACCTTTAGAAATGCTCAAGAGGCAGAACAGAAGGGCTCATCTCATTCTCTCTCTCTAGATTTGTGTGTCTCCGAGACCGACACACAAAAAAAATGAAGAAAACAAAAGGTCAAAAATCACCAAAGGTCCAAACAAATGACATCCGTTTGCCTCGCATGATTCGTAAGTCGATTAACTAACACGTTGATTTGTCTCTGTACCCGTGAGAGACGATTATGTATATGTGAAGGAGTTCACAAATGTGATTCTCTCTCTACGTTTTGATCACCTCATTCTATATACAGAAGCATTCATCGGGTTCGGTGGCTATTTCGTGGGATCAGCCATCCATCAGGGGACCATCTCAATTGATCCGACGGTCCAGATCACGGGAAAAAGTCGCGGAGCATCAGATGCGGTGTTGCACCTCCACGCCTGCCATACGAGTCTCCGCCCGCCCACCACCACCACCACCACCACCACCTCCGCCTCAGGATCGTCGATCAAGTTTCTGGTTCTTCCACGTGCCTCACATGCCCTAAGCCTTTTCCAGCGTCGGATCGATGCTCTCGCTCTTCTGATGATGAGGATCTGACGGTGTTGGCGGAGCGGAATACAATAGTTCATCTCGACGGCAGGCGTCCCACCGCTTCACTGCGTCTTTTATGCGGGCACTACGCACCGAGGTGTGCCCGTCCCCGAGAACCTGGGGGCCTCAGCCACGGTCTCCGATCCCCTGCATCTTCCACATCATGGAACAGGAATATTACTCGCATGACAGCTCCCAGCCGACCCTGGTCATGACTCACCCTGGGTGGTTCTGTGAGGAGACTTTCCTATTCTCTGAAACGGTTAAGACAGGGGATCCTCCCCTTAAAAACCTCTCTCTTTCTGACCTATTTTTCTACTCTTTTGCATCGTACCCAAAAAATTAACCTACTTTCTGATTGGAAGAGTCTGTAGGTTGATGTGGGATCTACTCCCAACGATTCGCTACCAGATATGACAAGGAAGCTGACGGTGTAGGTGAATGCGAGGATTTTATTTTGTTATATTTTTCGCTTTTGGGCACCTGCGTAGTTTAAAATGTGGAGTACGAAGAACTCCGCCTGTTCGGAGAGAGACAGAGAGAGAGAGAGAGAGAGAGAGAGAGAGACAGGAAATCGCGAAAACCCGTTTCGTTGCTGCACCCTCCCCTGTCGTAAAACGTCGCACCTCCGCTTCTCTTCCCCGGTTTGCACGCCCTAGAGTTTCTTCCCTTCTCGGAGGAGAAGACGTGAGAGAGAAGGAGAGAAAGAGAGGAAGAAGAGAAGGTCTTCGATGGCGCTCTCGACTCTTCTAAGATCTGCTTTTTCCGTGATTGGTGGATCGCGCGACTGCTTCCCCTCCGATTCTTCCAGGGTCCGTCCGGTTATCTTCCCCTACTACGCCTTGTAGTCATCCATTTAACGTGGATTTGATGGGAGATCTGTTCGGAAATCGCTTCGTTTTCACGACACCGTTCTATTGCCGATTCGCTTCAGTATCTATTTGGGGTTTTCGTTCCATATGATTCACATTTATCGGAGAAAATTGCACATGTCCTATCAATTGCTTGTCGGTGTTCCAAGTGTGCCTTATCTTGGGTTCCCTGTTGTTTCTTCTTCCTTAGGTACTTCGCATCAGGAGCTCCAGCTCGGCTCAGATCTCTTCAAGTTTTTTCGGTTCTTCCCTTACCTCCGTGGATATATATTCATCACAGTTAAGCTGTAATTACGACTGTTTCGTGTTGTCTTATTTAGATAATCTGAAGAATGATTTTGCTAAAAGGGCGTTTGTCTTTCTTGTGAGTTGTGCAGTAAACATGTTGCGAGGAGAAGCATTCAGCCAGTCAAGGCCACAGCCACTGAAGCCCCTCCCGTCGTTAAAAGTAATTCTTGATAGGAAAATCTTTAAGAAAATTGAGAGCCACTATGTATCCGATCCGTACCTGTTATGGTGAGCGCTTTATGTGACTGTCACTTCTGTGTATATTTTGTTTAGGTTCTTCACGTGGTGGAAAGACAAAAATCGGCATCAATGGTGAGTGACGTTATGACCTTTGCTCCTTTCAGCTTGTTCATTTTTTAAACTGTATTTGACAGAACCCAACCACACATGACATGACTTATTTGATGCCAGATATTATTTTTTTTCCTTAAATATTGATCACGAATTATATAGAAACAATTAAAAAAAATATATACTAACTCTGCATATTCCGACGCAAGATTTTGTTTTAAAAAAATTAATAAAGAACCGAGGTTGTTTCACGTGAATAGTTATGCAGGCTATCTAGTTCCTTTAAGCTATCTGGGGTGTGACTCATTTGCCTTAACTTGCATCTTGTTAATGATTCAAGGTTGATATTTTGAATGGAAGCTAAATGTTGTTGCCATTTTGCTCAGTACTGGGTATTAAAAAGTTATTATACCTGTAGGATTCGGACGTATTGGAAGGCTTGTAATGCGCATAGCAACCACAAGAGATGACATTGAAGTCGTAGCTGTTAATGATCCATTCATTGATGCTAAATATATGGTAAGAAAACTTTAATTTTCTTTTATTTGCACAATTTTTCTGACAATTTCAGCTGTATGGATATGCAATTAACATGAATCTCTGTGTGCTTTGTTAAGAGAAAAAAAAATGGATAAAAGCTTCATGTAGTTAATTTGATATGCTACATCTGTTCTATGATGCAACCTGTCTCTTCACATTTTTTTATGGTTTTTTTTTTTTTGTCTTAGACTAATTGTTTCTCTGGCCATAATTTTTATCGTTATCTGTCAAAAAGATTGTGTTTCAGTTAAGCATGGCATGTCTAAGTTAGAAACCATATCAGTATTAAACTTGTCATCTTCAGAGTAATTAGGTTAGCCAGGCTATTCTTAGATCAGATAATTTTCTAGATGAATGATATTTGAAAAACTCCACACTCAGCTGCATCTATTGCATGTGAAAGATATCATAATGAAACACGAGAAAGGCTGAATCAAATAACTATATTGGAAATCATATCCATGTCAACCCAACTTATATAGTTTCACTGAGTGTTTGTTGCTTTTACTGAATGGAAATTGGAATTATCTACTGAAGTTTGCTGCTACAGATATATTATATATAAATAAATAAAATAAACATATATATATTATTGGATGATTAAGCCAATTTAACTTGGTAATGATATTTATCAAAAGTAGGGTGCATCAATGCTAATAGTAAAAATTTCATATTTATTTTTATGATTGTATGGACATCAAAGATTTGGACTCCATAGAAATGATTTATTTATTTATTTTTCATTCAGGTTGGATCATGTTAAAATTGGTTGTACATGTGGAAGTATTGAGAAATTTCAACAACTAGTAAAGAAGTGCAACTGCTTATATGTATGGATTTCTGATTCCACTATGATTTTTGACTTAAACCTTAGTTAGTCAATGGTGATATTGCCCATCTTTCTCAAATAGAAAGATAGCCATCTTGCATATTTTAAATGTTTGCCAATTTCTTACATTGTTGAAGTATGTTTGCCTATCTCATGCCTTTTTTTTACATACAGATTTTCCCTTACTAGTTCCCCCTTTCTTTTTTTCTGTAATGATGATAGTATCCTTTTCTGTTAGGCGTACATGCTTAAGTATGATTCAACACATGGAGTCTTCAAAGGAACCATCAAAGTTGTGGACGAGTCCAACTTAGAAATCAATGGTAAAAGGATTGCAGTCACATGCAAAAGGTATGTGAACTTCTGCAGCAAGATATAATCATTCCTACATTGGATGATAGGAAGGTTTGTTTTGCAATTTATGTTTTACTTAGGCTGTAGTATTTTGTGCCACATTGAATAAGAGATATTTTGCTTAATGGATGTGTTAAACTGGATTTTCATAAGATATTTGTTCTTTTTCTTTGATATGTGATGTAGAGAAAAATCACTCTTTGATTAGTAAACTTCAAGGTTTAGGATTTTGTTTTGCTGCTTATTTTGTTTGTACATTATTGCTTGCAGTAAAAAGGAATCATTTAAAAAAAAATACCTAAAGTAAGGAACTTATAGTGTCAAATGATTGAATGCTCTTCTTTTCCAGAGATCCAGCTGAGATCCCATGGGGTGATTATGGGGCCGAATATGTCGTTGAATCTTCTGGTGTTTTTACGACAATGGACAAGGCATCAGCTCACTTGAAGGCATGCTCTATCTTTTTAATATTGCTAAGTTTTGACTTTTCTGCTTCACCTTGTTTTTTGGAGGGGTATGTACGGCATAGGGGTTTGTTTTTATATACAAAATATTTTTGTAGGGTGGTGCAAAAAAGGTGGTAATATCTGCTCCATCTGCTGATGCTCCTATGTTTGTAGTTGGTGTAAATGAGAAGACATACAAACCATCTATGAATATTGTTTCTAATGCAAGCTGTACAACCAACTGTCTTGCACCTCTTGCCAAGGTTTGCCACTTTGGACTATATAGCTTAGTAAATCATGTTTCCTCTCATGTTTGTGATTTGGAGACATGATCTTCAATGCAATGTGTTAAATACATGTATACTACCTGATAATTTTCTATCATCCATAACATTTATCCTCTATGGGGAGTCATAGTATGCCATGGATCTTGCTTATGTTTAATGTGATATGGGATCATAGCTATCCCTTTACAGAATGACCATTTTATTTCTTGAAGGTTGTCCATGAGGAGTTTGGAATTGCTGAAGGACTTATGACTACTGTCCATGCGACAACAGGTTTCTTCTTTTTTCTTGATTGTGGCTAACATGTGAACAGAATATCCGAGTGTGACATTGCATTTGTTATCATGTTGTTTAATTCATGTAGTTTGTCCCATTCCTTTCAGCCACACAGAAGACTGTTGATGGCCCTTCAACGAAAGATTGGCGTGGAGGCCGAGGTGCCGGACAGAACATCATCCCCAGTTCGACTGGTGCAGCAAAGGTGAGGTTGGAATGACATGCAAGACATTGAAATGCTTCTGAAAAGAATTTAAATGAAATTACCTTCACCTTGGATCGTAGGCTGTTGGTAAAGTCCTTCCAGAACTAAATGGGAAGCTCACTGGGATGGCTTTCAGAGTTCCTACACCTAATGTTTCTGTTGTAGACTTAACCTGCCGACTTGAGAAAAGTGCATCATATGATGATGTAAAAGCAGCTATTAGGTATGCAAACCCTTTTCCTTGCTTCACGTATTCCATTTACTTTTTCAGCTGATGCATTGGGATGCATGCTATATGGATGTCTGATATGCCTTATCCTTTTATATTAGCCTTGATAATTACCAAATTTTCTCATCATGTTTGATATATATTTTTTTAACTATTATAACACAGACTACCAAAATAAAGCACTCGAAGAACTGTTTTAGTAATCTCATAGTACTCTATCTAATGATTAAGTACGCAATACTCTGTTTAATTCAATTTGACCTATAGCCCATTGCAAGCTTATCAAAATATATTTGGTTTGTGTTTATTTAGTCCTTATGCCATGTATTTCTTATCCTGTTGTATTATCGTCTTAGTGTTGTCCTTTAGCTGCCTTGTTATTTGTGATGCTTAAGTAATTCCTCAATTGCCTAGCTTATTCATCTGTTCTGATAATATTCAACTTGAGGTGGCAAATTTTCTTTCAAGTGTTACTTAGGAGCTCTATGTTACGTGCATATAATTAAGTTAGCTCTTAGGTTTTGAAGACAATGGCATGAAGAAACAATGTCCCTCCATTCAACTAGTAGTGCATGAACTGGAAGAAGTATTATTAGTGCATGAACTACTAGAACAATAAAATTGATTTTTGGTTGTCAGGTTGGTACGGTCTCTACCAATATTGCTTAGCTTGAAAGGCGATACCCCTCGTATCCAGAACACAATCTGGACTATCCTGTAGAGATGATCACATTAATTAACAAATATGCATGCACAAGTTTCTTCTCTTTGGTGTTTTAATTTTTTGTATGCTTTATTCTGTGATTATTTTTCAGGTATGCATCAGAAGGCACACTGAAAGGTATTCTTGGCTACACTGATGACGATGTCGTGTCCAACGATTTTGTAGGTGACTCTAGGTAAATGTTTAGTCTTATTAGAACATAACTTATAAACCGGCAGCACGTCTTAACTAATTACATTCTGCTTATTCTTCCAGGTCCAGCATCTTTGATGCCAAGGCTGGGATAGGATTAAGCGACGCTTTCATGAAGCTAGTCTCGTGGTATGACAATGAGTGGGGCTACAGGTTAGAGTCTGCTGCAATTCTACCTCCATTTTCTACACAAAGAGTAAACAATTCATCTGATGTGCTTGATCCTTAAATTTCAATTCAGCAACCGTGTTCTTGACCTCATCGAACACATGGCCCTGGTGAGCGCCCATCACTGAAACGTGCCAAGGAATCGGGAACCTGCAGACGTGCGTCGCCAAAGCTGCGATTTTGATGTAGGTGGCCTCTTGTTGTTTTGTTTCTCGTATATTGGAATAAGATGTAGAACGTTGACATCGCTACAATTTATTACGTGAGTTGACAAAGATTAGAAGAAGAAGAAGAAGAACATTTGATGTCGCCATGGCAGGGAAGCTTGCAAACAACACTGAAATCTATGTGATGTGATCAGATTTAGGTCATGCATGTTCTTCTTCTATATGTCTGACCTCTGAATTAGATCACTACGGTGCGTCTCTGTTAAACCACTGCCTAAACCTCGAAGCCATTATTATTACCCGTTGTCATCATGTCATGTTCCAGAAATGTATGTAGACTTCGAGATCACTTTTTGATGGATTAATTAGGATAAACCCTAAACCAAGCCTTGAGGCTTTGGTTTCTCCTCCGCATTCAAGTTATATCTTGTTATCTATATTTACAACATAAATTATCATTTAAACACTGGACAAAAGATCCGACGGTACAACAATTGAAAAACTAAGTTACATAAAAACAAAAGTTTATAGTTGTTCGGTTGTCATGACCTACATCTACTCCATCGATTCTTCTTTCTTTGAGGCTATCGGTATCCACTATCGATCTTCCATTAATAGGCGAAGATCAACCTCCTTCTTACATCCCTCTTCTCCTTTTCATAGGGCGTTTTCTCACTGTTAAACTCTTTGTGCTTGTGTAAGTTAACCAGGGATGAGAGGAGTATTTATAGACTTCAAGTTGATTCAAACTCAAAGCCTAAAAAGGTCTCGTCCCAGGTTTCCTAGGTACTGGTGGTACCACCACCGTTCCTGGGCGATACTACTGCCGCAGGATCTGCTACTAGGCGGTACCACGGCCTGATAGGGGCGGTACCACCGCTGGCAGTATTACTGCCAGTAGTACCACCACCCAGATTTCCTGGGGTGCTGTTCCCCAGGTGGTACCACCATCGGCCAGTCTTTTAGCACCTTGGTTGGGCCTTGAATCCAGTCCAAACCAACCTAAGTTCAGGCCCAGTTGGCCTCGAATAGAGTTGATGAGATTACCTCCTAATCCCAACTCTAATTATGTGCTAACTACGATTCCTAGGACATATTCTAAGTAAGATAAGTCCGATTTCTTCTAGCGAGCTTCCAGCGGACTCCCGGTAAGCTCCTGGACTTCACGACGATCATCTTGGCGAGTTCCGACGAGCTTCTTCGGCAAACTCCTGGACTTCTCGATTGGTTCCGGTAGAACTTCCGATGAACGTCCGGACTACCGATGAACTCTCGAACTCCCAACGAAATTACGTTCTTAACTCCGAGACTTCATTTTGTTTTATGTCATGCAATCGTAGTTAATCCTGCACACACAAAAACAAACTTCGATCTAGACAATTATTACTAAGCATGAATCATATTGTCTGGCATGTCATTGGTCCATCGATACTTCGTCCGATTCTTCGACGCATCATTTGATCTTGCGGCCTATTAGCCAATCGGCTAGTTGATCTCTACAACTCCGATATCCTTGGAGCAAAATCCGCTTTTCTTAGCCCGATGCCCGAATCCATGGCCCGAAGCCTTCGGTCGATACGTCGACCGATTTTCCAGCCTGATGTCCAATCTTCTAACACATTTTTCTCCGGCCTAACATGATTCTTCCTACTTTAATTGTCAATTCCTGATCGAAGCATCCTACGTCACTCAAAACGTAGATCAAATCATAAATACTTATCAATTGGTTTCATCATCAAAATCCAAGAGATTGTTGACATGGCCAAAATTTTTTTTTCTTTTCTTCTATTTTTATTCCATGGAGGAGATGAGCCATGTCCTTTTGGGAGAGCCTTAGTTCTATAGAGTTCAACCTCTAACCTTTACCCCGAAGCACTCTTTCCCGCCCCTCCTTAACAAAATTGAAACCATTCCCACTTGGTTTCAAGGTTTCAACTATCTATGTTAATCATAAATCTCGTAACTTGATTGATAAGATATTTTAAAGATTATGATTGAATTCTAATCAAATATCTAATTATTAATATTTATGTAATTCAAATCTTGAAATTGATCTCGATAAAAAAGAAAATCCGAAATGCCTAGACCCTTCCTCCTCTCTCACGACAACATCTTTTGTGATGTATAACATATTTGATGATACATTATGGTATATAAAATGTTCGGTGATACAACTCGATCAGTAATAATAGTAGTCTTGGAAGAAGTAGGAGAGAGAAGCGAGAAGGGTTAGTTCCTTGTAAGGATCGATAGTGACAGCAAAGATATTTCGATTCAACATATTGGAATGTACTATCTATACGGATCTTCTATCGAATCGATAGGTACCACCTATATCGAATGGTATGCTTTAGTACAATAAACCTTACTTTCAAATTGAGTTAAATTTATAGTTTCATGCATAGACTATTAGTTATAAGTCAAAGGTTTTTCTATTGGTTACGAATATCATTCATAATCTTTTCTAAATCTTGGATTAAAATATTTTGAACGTAATACCGGAAGGAAATGGAAGGTCATGGTTAATCCTAAATTTGCGAGAAGAAAATTTATTATATTAAATAATGTAGATGATATATTTATATATGTGGATTTGAATATAAGATAAATTATTTATATAATAATGATATTGACAAATGGGACATTGTGATCGGAGTTGTTTGGCATTGAAATAACAACTGTTATATCAATGGGTTAGGATTAGGGTTATGATTTAGGATTTCAGATGGCCCAAAAATAATTAAATCATGGAAGAAGGTTCGGCTCGCCTTATTCACACGACGGTGACCGCCCACCATTAAAAAAATATATGTAGTACGATCGACTCTCGTAGATTTACCGACCAACAACAAAAAAAAAAAAAAAAGACGGTCAAAATCCAATTTTGTTGATGTTTGACGGGGATCGAAACGGGAAGGGAGAAGAGGTTGTGTCAGCGCGTGAGATTTGGAGAATGAGAAGATTCCTTGTCCTTTGTTACGAGAGGGGAGAGAGAGTCCGATGGAAGATCGGAGAGAGAGACTTTTTTTATTTTTTATTTTGATTTCTTTTCCTTCTTATTATTCCTAAATTATGCCTTGGCGAACGAAAAATTAGTATCGTTAGATTTTAAGCACTCTTTTATTTTATTTTTTTTATTTGAACTAAAATACCCTTAGTCTTACTTTAATTTCAATAACATGGTTATGAACCCATTCTTTAATTTCATTAATATGGATTTTCTTCATCTTCTTCTTTGTTTTCTTTTTTTTTATTATTCTAATAAATTTTTTTTAGATAAATCATTAAAAAGAGAGAGAGAGAGAGAAGGAGAAAGAGTTTTCTTTGCTTTCACGTAGTTTGACTTGGCACTCCGACGAATTTGAAGTCGACCGCATTCGACGACGAACCCACGGATGGCGACATTCCGACAACAAAGCCCGGAGCAGCAGACTGTCGTTGTGGCAAATGTCGAGATTCTCGTGGTTGGGGCAAAAACTACGTCGCCCACATCCGGAAGGCAACCGATGCACTCTCGTCTCCACCACCAAAGGAACGGTAAAAGTACATCTATCTGAAAGAAAATGTGATGGCAGAAGAAAGGCTGCATCTTTTTTTGATGCCTAAAACAAACACACCCATCAGAGGATGGATGCACCCACCCACACATACTATTTGTCTGTCTGTCCTGTCTCTTCCACCATCCAACAATGAAAACAGAGACTAAGCTGTCGAATTAGGATCTTTCTTTTCTTTTCTTTTTCTTTTTCTTTTTCTTTTTTTTGATAAATATATGCACAAAAGAAATGTGGAAAAATTCAACTATTACCATAATAGATTACGTCGTGTTTAAGCCACGATTCGGAGGATACCCCCTTTTTTTTCCCATTAAAATAATAATATTAATAATAATAATAATAATATTAATATTAATAATAATAATAATATTAATATTAATAATAATATTAATAATAATAATAATAATAATAATAATATTAATAATAATAATAATAATAATAATAATAATAATAATAATTTCTTCTTCGGTAATAGTGAAATTTGTGATGCTTCTTCGGTCATATGCCGTGACATGGATGTCGATTTTGAGGCAGCAGCACGACAAGCATCGATCGATCCTTCTCCGGACACCCTTTTGTCGATTCGCAACCAGTAGTAGTAACCTAAAGGATGCGTGATGACCAAAAACTCCCCCACCAAACACATCCAACTTCGTCGCATAACTCGACCTCGTGGCGAAAGAACATGAAAGTCTGTCAGGCATTAAAACAAACATCTGCGAGGCAGAAAGGTGGAAGCTTTTCCATGGACATAAAAGGCATAAAAGGAAGGAAGAGATAGAGAGAGAGAGAGAGAGAGGGACCGTCGAACTCTTTCTTATCTTCCTTCTTTCTTTGCCTTTCTTCTTCTTCTTCTTCCTATATTAGCTCCATCTTCGTCGCAACGTCCCTTTCTCTCAGGGCAAACTCCACGACCGTCCGACGAAGGGTTTTCATCGCAACATCCACGACCCTCCGACTTGAGTTGCGAATCGTGACCTTGACCGCATGCAACTAGAATCGGTCACACCCATCGACGAAGGGTTCAAAGATGACAACCGAGCGATTACCACACCATGTCCTCGATGGCGACGGCCCACACGTCGCCCTTGGGCGAACGCGCACGGCGTGTAAACCCTTGAGGGCCACCGCGAGCGGTCCGCCCTTGAGCGCAACGCAGCGTATAAAGAAAGGGGAAGGTCGAGGGCGAGGCACAAGTAGAGACTAGAGGCGCCCCGCGGATGGATGCCCGGGAGGAGTTCATCGTCGCTCCCATGCGGCTGCGCGTTGTGAATCAAGAAGCTAGGCATCTGCTCCTGCATACTGCTTCCGCCATGATCGCGTTTGCCGCCAACGGCATCCTCTCCGCGTTCCTTGTCGAGGACCTCTGCTACGTCCTGCACCACTTGGTGTTCTGCGTCGTGGGACTCGCTGGTTCTCTTCTCCTTTTCCTGTCATATTCAGCTCATAAGTTCCCGACCGCGGCAAGGCGAGCTTCGTCCATGTCGGCGGCGGTCGTTCGTCTTCGTCGGCAGCCACGAAGGGTTTTCGCCTCCGGACTAGTGCTGTTGCGTCGCGACGCCTCCTCCTTGTCTGCCTTGTTTTGTTCTGTGTGGTTTCTTGCGGCCTTGGTTTATGTCGTCAACCCATGCACTCTCTGCTACAATGGTATGGTCTGGGGTGCTCTCTTCTTCTCCATCTGAATCGATGAAACCATGGCCCGCACGGAGAGCAGCATCGCGATTTGGGCGGTCGGTTCATGTAAAATTATTGGCTATCGAATTATCGGTTCCTTACCTGAGGAACAAATGATTTGCATTCCACATCTTCTGCAAATGGCTCAAACAATCGAATGAAGCAGCATTGCTCAGACTGTAGCCATGACCAATGTGATTCCTGTCATATGCAACCGTAAGTCTCTTCTGTAGAGAGACATTGTAATGCTCTGTCCATTTGAGCTCACAGTTAATGTTTGAATGGGTCACCGTAAATAGAGTAGAGTCTCTTATACAAGTGCCATTACTCAGTTGTACAACCTGTAACTTTCACATATGAACAACAAACATTATAAAAAAAAAAAAAAATGTCATCTCTATCTTCATTCCCAACTTACTAGAGATTTGACATCTAACATAACAGCATTTCCGAATCAGGATGCTTTCAGCCCCAAAACTTTAACATCAATGCTTCCATTGTTCAGTTGCTTCATTCAATCTTCCTTCTGGATCTGACCCGATGTCATTAAAATATATGGACAAGAAACAATCGATCCCATTCTCTAGTGGATCTAGCAATTTGACTTGTATAGCATAAGCAACATACTGTAGAATCATACCAGCCACATTGGACTTCTTTGAGAAATCCAAAATTATAACCTCTGCTTCTGGACCTTCCTGTATAAGTTCATAGGAACCTGCGTTTGTAGATAAAACAAGTTAATCAGCATATTCAAATGTCAAAAGTGCTGCTTTACATGCATAAATAACCAAGTTATGCTTGAGAAACACCATTCCATAAGGCAAAGTCGAGATTGGCCAAGGACTTGTTGTGTCTCGGCGGAAATGTTTACATATGACAGACACACTACTGTGAGGGTGCAAAGATCCTCGAGTGAGGCGATAAAACAGCTTCCTGCACAAACTTCTTGGGATTGCGAGGGTCACGAGCCCAACGGATCTCACTCATGTTTGGGGTCTCCACAAATAGCATGGTGAACTCGCCAACCTTCTCAGCATTCCCTTTCTTGCCAGCCCTGAGCACCAGACTGTTCTTGTGGAAAGAGAATATTCCATTGCTGAGACGAAGGATGTCCCCAGGCTCGAAAGCTTCGCACTCACTTCCCCACATCTGGAAGTGAACTGATGCAGTCTCGTCCGCAACTAATGCCAAGCAAGTCATCTCTTTCCCATCCTGGGTAATGCTTCCCTTCTCCAGCACTATGAATTGTGTGTTCACAGTATTGGTTGCCGCAGGAACTATGTCTTTCAGATGCACCATGTTTTCCATAGATGAAAGGAGCCTGCAAAAACCAATAGGTATATCTGAAATGTGATGCTTCTGATACTAGCACACAACATTCATAAAAGGCTTAAGAAATAAATTGCTCAAGCTTCTTGGTATAATATGGTGATACAAATTAACACGGTCTTGGGGAAGAAAGGCTGCATTCTTTTATGCCTAAAACAAAATGCTGATCGGTGGATGCGTGCACGCACACACACTAGTTTCTTTGTCTTTTCCACCACAATGATAAGAGAGGATTTCTGGCACTTAATTTTGCAGAGTGATGTTGAATTGTAGATTAAGCTTTCAAACCAGGATATATCAATTCTTTCTCAATAATCTATACACAAAAGAATGTGGAAAACTCAAGCAAACCATCTTTTATTCAACTATTACAAAAACATATTACTCATGTTTAAGCCACAATTTGAATACCGTTTTTCTTTTCTTCTGTTAAAGTGAAATTTGTGATGCTTCGGTCATATGCCTTTCTTCCATGTGACTCCAGACGGCTTCAAATCATAGGAAGAAAATATAGGCAGATGATCATAGCTCCATAAGGTATTCCTACAGTTTCTGTCTCTATTGATCCAATGCATGGCATCAAAAACCATGACAGATGCACATGTTATGCATATGCATCATCTAATACATTGACATCAAAACAATCTTCATTTGGATGCCGATTTTGAGGGAGTACGAAAGGCATTGTTCTTCACCAGTTCTTCTTGATTCTCAACAACTGACCTAAAACATGCATGATCCTATAAACACTCCAAGACATCCCAACTACGTCGTCAACCAAACTTTCAGATGGCAACCATCATCCACAAATTTGGTGTTTTTAGGTATCATGAACAGAACTAGGATTTTGAACAACCGTGAAATTGAGCTCCAGTTTGATGCAATTGAAATCGTTGGAAGGCGACAGAAGATGAAGTCTTTCAGGCATTAAAACAAACATGTATAGCACGACATCTGCGACGCAGAAAGTCGCAAACCTTTCCATGGATATGAAGTCATAAAGGCAGAGAGAGAGAGAGAGAGAGAGTTTCACCTCAAGGCGTAATCTTCTGTAGACGGAGCCGATGGGGAGGGAAGGACTTTATGGGGCGGAACGGGGAACGGCTTTCTCTTCCCATCCATTCTTTAAGAGTCGTGACTAAATGTACAAGGGTGTCGCCGCATGACGTCAGCGTCCACTAAAAGTGTCTCGTATTTACGATCTTGTCAGGTACCAAGTCCGATAGTCCGATCCAACGGTCCAAAATTCACGTTCTACTCCTCCATGATGCTTCCCAGCGCGTGGATATAAAGTAGACTTTAGGTGCGCCGGCCCATTCAACCATGCTACGTCATCGCCCATCGAGAGCGTCCAATTTCTTCTATGACACGTGCTACGTCTTATTTACTATCTTCGCACGTGCAAGGGTGCCCCGTGCCCGGTGCGGTGTGGCCCTCTGTGAGTATAACTAAGGAATGAGGCGATGGATGAGCCAGAGGGAGAAGGGAGTCGTGGGAGCGCTCGGCGGACGGATGCCTGGCAGGAGTTCGTAGTCGCTGCCATGTGGCATCGCGATGTGAACCAAGAAGCTAAGCATCTGCTCCTGCAGACTGATTCCGCCATGGTCGCCCTCTCCGCCATGCGCATCATCGACATGGTGGCGCCGCTCTCGGCGTCCGGTGGTGACGATGATCTCGTCTGCATCCTGCACCACTCGGTGTTCTACGTCACGGGTATCGCTGGTTCTGCCCTCCTCTTCCTGTCATATTCAGCTCATAAGTTCCCGACCGCGGCAAGGCGAGCTTCGTCGATGGCGGCGGCAGTCGTTCGTCTTCGTCGGCAGCCACCAAGGGTTTTCGCCTCCGGACTAGTGCTATTACGTCGCGACGCCACCTCGTTGTCTGCCTTCTATTGTAATGTGCGGTGCGTTGCGGCCTTCATTTACGTCGTCAACCCATGCAGTCTCTGCTACAATGGTACGGTCTGGTGCGCTCTCTTCTTTTCCATCTAATTTGATGAAACCATGACCCCGCGAGCAGCATGGCGATTTCGATCACAGTGACTCCATGGCCGAGGTGTGCTGTAGTTTTAGTTTTGCTCTGTTACCAAGTGCACTCTGTTGCCGGGAAGATTGCAAGCCATGAATACTGTTTCTTTCGCCCTCTTCGTCTGACTGTTGTCTAAGAGATGATCCAGAGAAAGGGGCCAAAGATCGCTTTCTCGATGACCATAATGGTTGCAGAATAGAATCACCTAAAACTTTGACTCCCAAATGACTTCCACTCCACATGCCTGCAAATTGATGGTTCCTTCAATCGAATGAGGCAGCGCATAGCGTAGGTGTGGTTTCCGCCATCTACGATGCAATCGAATGACTCTTCCGAGGAGATCAGTCGGTGCACTGCGCTATCCAATCAATTGGGGCCACTATATAAAATCCCCTGGCACGCATATAATAAACACACACATAATTGTCGACCACTCTGAGACTTGAGTTGTATCAAGGCATGTGGATTCATTCAAAAACATCTCGACAAGTTCAACATAAATTGGAACATACAGTGAGTGACATGAGAAATTGGTAGCAGATTAGCAGCATGACAGTAGTGCATGAACGATACACTTGGACAAACGACTCTTATGAAATTTCATGCAGAACAGACATAGCACAACAACAACTCAAGCAACACTTGTACTCTATGTTGCCTTCATGACAATAATAGAATCAAGGTTCAAGTTTACTTGCAGCGTGCATCCTGGGATCATTCCTTGTTGCTGTTCGATCTATTTATTTCTGCATCACTCATAGGACGGAAACATATACCAACCTATGTTGATTGCATCATGGCATAGAAACCCATTCTGTCATTAACCCCGTCGATACAACAAATAGAATAGAACAGGGTTCGTGGGGGAGAAGAGAGGAGAAACACATAATGCAGGTGGTGATCAGATAATTCATAGCTGAATCATAAAGCTTGGTGCTACAAACAACTACATCGGGGAAGTGATGCAGAAGGTAGATCACACAACCATCATTCCATTCCATTTGAGTGCAGAACATATGAGTTTACTAGAATTTGTTATTGTTCTTGTAGAACTTTCATATACTTGGTTTGGAAATCAAGACATTATTAAGCTCATTTGATGTCAAGTTAGTCGTTTGAGGCCACAAACAACATGTCAAATTCACCTAAAATATTGTTGAAATCTTGTAGGGATTCACAGGATGTGTCAGTAGATGATGCTAGAAGAACATGGTGAACAAGAAGTGGACCAAATCTATTACTTGTTTTGTGTGAAGGCTGAATCTAATACAGAATCCGATTCTTTCTCCAGAATTGCTCTGTCAATTTAGCTTGCCAGCTAACACCCTTCTCCTCCTTGAAATAAAACAATGATAATAGTATGGAGATAAATAATAAAGCAAAGGTTGTCTTAATTTGTTTGTGTGTGTTCCCATTCGATGTGCAAGTATTCATTGGTATCATCAAATAAATCACTGATGAAAACCTCGTCCGCTTAGTCCGTCCTCTTCCCGCTTCTTTGAAGCTGATGTTTCTTGTATGCAGAAGGTCACAAAAACCTGGCACTTTCCTGGTAGGAAGATTCGATGGCTGCTGCTAGTGTGCAGGTGGTCCAAATGGGGGTGGGAATGCCACGGTCCATGCATGCAACATCTCCTCTAGTCCACCCCAACACACCACCATGCGATTTGGTGCAGCAGGTGACAGTCCAAGTCCCAAGTCAGTGTGTATGCAATCTTTATGCAGGAGGCGGCTTGGAAGTGCATGTTGAATTCATGGCGTACAGCTTGGAAGGACTATGTCGACTGCTAGCATTTCCAGTGGTCCAAACGCTTGGGAGCCAATCATGGTCACCTGAGGGTGGCCTGAGCTTTGTGCAGGGCAAGCAGCCATGGCCATGCAAAGACAAGTGCTGCGTTGGAAACCCCACAAAGAAGAAGTGGGCGAGAAGAGGAAAAGGAGCTGCAAGTGTAGGTTGTGTTCATGCTTTTTGGATACAAGTAGTAGAGGCCAAAGCTGACGTTCCTCGTAGTTTCTTGGGACCAGTACTTGCTCATGTTTCAGTTCCCATCGTCTTTTCCCCGATTTTAGGATTCCTATTGACTTGTCTTCTTGAAATACCAACTCCCTTTTTTGTCTTCTTGAAATACAACTTCCTATTAATCTGGAGATTAATGCTGAATATTTATGCGCCACATTACGTATCATTAAAAAGCCCAATGAGTCAAGAATCTAATAATTTTGTTTTTTTTGTTTTTTTTTTCTAGAAGAAGTTATGATGATCGTTATCCTCCAAAATGGATGAAAATTATTTTCAACTCTAATTAATTAATTATTTTATTAATTATAATAATATTTTTAAAAAATAATAATAATAATAAAGCAGTGAACAATTAATTAATGGATGAGGGATATATGGGCATATTCTACTCTACTAAACATGGGAGTGAAAATTTATGACTCGGTGGGTACCTCTTTGATGAATTATTTAAAACTGACACTTGATAAATCACGTATTCTTTCGAACTCAGTTCGACTTCTTTCCTCTCCGTTGTGTCGTCGTCGTTCGTGCATCCTTCCAGAGGCTGTCATGGCAAAAACCTCCTGCAGCATGCTGTGTGTCCTTTTCATCGCCCGGCCGGAGCTTATCGCCACTGCATTCGGAGGGGCATGAACATTAATGCATTTCCCGGATACGGAGGTCGGCTGTTGTGCGACCAAAATCTACTCTAATAAATTCATGCTTGGAATCATTCTCATTCTCTCTCTCTCTCTCTCTCTCTCTCTCTCTACTGCAACTACTACTACTACTACTACTAAGCAGGAAAAGAGACGAACAGCGTCAGTTCATGGGCACGAAAGAGCTTGGCGTGCACTGCATTCTGCATCGTCTACAGGCATCGTCGTGCTCAGTGTGCGTGTCTCTCTTTGTGAATACTGATGCACTGATGATGTCCTTCTCATGCTACTGAGCCGCCCGAGCCCACGAAATCATTTGGACTGCTGAAGTCATTAAGTAATCTCAAGTGTATAGTTTTCTGGAGAAAGAAGAAAAGGTTACCGCATGCTTTCGTGGGTAAATCGATGATGATTTATTGAGTGATTAAAAGAAAAAGGCACTTTGGTTATGTTACCCTTTTCAAGGAAATCTGTAAGTTGGCACATACGATGTGGAGGATTGCTCTTTGGAATGCCGAGTGAGCGATCCCAATAAATCCTCAGTAGTAATCTAACAACTAAAGTCGGAAGATAATAAAAGAGAAATAATGTGGAAACCATCAAGAGGATGTATGAGGTGGAGCGGCTTTTATTGAGCCTTCTCGGAGCAGTTGAATCTTTCCTGATCGGCTGGTCACTTGTCACACACCAACATATGGCAGACTCTGCAGAATTGTGTGGGTTTAGGTCCTCTACGGAGCATGTCAAAAAGAACCATACTCCATTGTATTCCATCATCAACGCTCGTACATTTGGGATCCACACACACTCGCATTTAGCCTTGTTCTTTAGTTCTTTGTCAGGCAGTTAAAGACATGCATGAGTTGGATTCATCAGATGCACACTGGCATTCCGTATATATTGCCCTCAGCATCCGTATCCCAGAAAGATTACGAATACATGTGCATGCAACTCGAAAGAAGGCCAAGTCTGTGCAGAACCAAGTGGTCCCGTAGGTACTCCCACCGTGATGGCCCAACCCTCGCCACTGTGTTCGTCCCCCCACCCGACGAACACAAACTATGCGTGCAATCTGTTGTCATCGAGCAGGATTATGTGTGAAAGCAAGTTTAATTCCGAAACGACTACTGCTACTTGTGATGGATAGATCACGAAAAGTGGTGAGGATAAATAAATGTTTAGAGAAAAAGGGTTTCTGGAAGCTTTGATGGTCATACGGTACTGTGGTTATTAAATAAAAGCCTTTGCGTGCAGTTAAACAGTAAATAGTGACGAGAGTGAAGTTTCGGAGCCAACTGCTTGTGAAGGAACCTAAGAAGTAAGTGCACAAAGGCTGGCAAAAGCACTAAAGAGGGTCACTTTATGGTGTGGGGTGGAGCTGAGCTTTGCAGGGAAAGCGATTGGTCTTGTCATTGTTCTCCACTTTCTGACCTTTCCTGCCATCGTATGTCTTCCAAGATTTCTCTTTCTTCTATATATATATGTATATATATATATGTTCCATGTTATTCCATTAATTAAGATCTTTGTCCAGAGAAAACCAAACCAGGTGATGATCTTAAACCCTTATTTATTGGTCTTGGGATCATTACTACTGCATGCCTCTAATGCATGGAGAGGAGTTCGGGTGATTGGGCAGAGGAAATCGAGGAGATCTCTCTCTCCCTCCCCCTCTGTCTCTCTCTCTCTCTCTCTCTGTCTCTCTCTCTCTCTCTCTGCCAACGAGAAGTGGGAGAAAGAGGAGGCGTAGGTGAGAAAGACCTCCCGTGCTGACGTTTTGTGCAATGTGAATTGCATCCGCTAAGTCCATCATGGCCACGAGGTGGATGTCTCCTATGCCGGACCCACCTCTTGTCTCTCCTCCCCCATTCAACTTAACTCTTTCTCTCTCTTCTTCACCTTTAAAACTTCCTTATCTTCGAGAACTTGCTTGTCATAACTTCATGTGAATCTTTAGCTGAGTTTGAGTTTACCATCACCAGCAGATGATGTGTGCAGCCCATGAAAATACTGATGGTTTGGTATTCTGATACTGTGGTAGCCCAAAATCTTGGCTGGTGAGATCTTATGGCTTGTGTCTCTTTCTTCAATTCTTGGGGGAGAGGCGTCCATATTTCATCTCATCTCTTTAATTGAAGCCATCCCCACTTCCCCACAACCTCTTCTCTCCACCAACACCCACAGAACTTCCTGGTTCTTCTCGTCCGACCATCCTTTTCCTCCTTTGGACCCAAAGCAGCTCGAGCGAGTTCTCGGAGATCTGTCCTGCTTCCACCGTCTCCTCATCACCATCAGGTTCCGTTTGCACCTGTCAAGACAGTGTCTTCCTCTTTCTTCTCTTTGGGCCATTTGACATGGATTTCAAGTAAGTCCCAGAATACTCCTTCCTTTCTCATCATCATCCCCGGCTTAGGAACTCCTAGAGAAGAAAGAAGCCTTTTTCCATCCCAGCCATACAAGAAACTAGTTAAATCTTCTTCTCTGGAAGAAGTAGTGGCTGTAGATCTCCGGAAGGAGTCCAGAACACACCACCTGCACTTCCATCATCTGCTCTAGGGTTAAGGACTTTGGATTTCTTCGCAATATCCATATTTCTCAGCTAGTAGCCCTCTCATTCCTCAGCAAGATTGCACCGAAGGGGAAATTGGCTTGATCAAGGCCAGAAACAGCAAACCCTAAGATCTGTCCAACGAAGAAGACCAAGAAATCTTGGCGTAGCTTTGCTGTACTACTATGTTCTCTAGCTTTTGTGTTTAGAGTTCCTTGCGTTCTTCCTGTCACAGATTTCTGTAAGCTCCAGAAAGCTTTTTTCTGACCCAAGGAGTTGATCTCAGCTACTGAAGCATGTCGTCTGCGAACTCCGATAGCTCAGGCAACTCGGGCGCTGCAAACGGCACAGGCAAGCCGAGCCGGTACGAGTCACAGAAGCGGCGCGACTGGAACACCTTCAGGCAGTACCTACGGAACCACCGCCCGCCGCTCGAACTCTCCCGGTGTAGCGGCGCCCATGTGCTCGAGTTCCTCCGTTACCTCGACCAGTTCGGCAAGACAAAGGTCCACGCCGCCGGCTGCCCCTTCTTCGGCCACCCGCAGCCCCCGGCGCCGTGCCCGTGCCCCCTCAAGCAAGCTTGGGGCAGCCTCGACGCACTTGTCGGCCGCCTCCGCGCCGCCTTCGAGGAGAATGGCGGCCAGCCGGAGGCCAACCCCTTCGCCGTCCGCGCAGTTCGGCTATACCTCAGGGAGGTAAGGGACAGTCAGGCCAAAGCGAGGGGAATCGCCTACGAGAAGAAGAGAAAGCGGCCGCCCCCGCCACCGCAGGGCCACAGCCCACAGCCACCGCTCCCCATGGTAGCGGCGCCTCCTGCCGCGGCTTATGCTCGGCAGGCGGCCGATCTAAATCTGGTGAACGGTGCATACACGCATCACGTTCATGGACACCTGATGATTCCCGCGACGGATGCCGTCGGAGACGTGGTGGTCACCGACGCGCATCCCGGTGGTATGATACCACTCTCCGTGCTGAACTGAACACTTGAGTTATTTCCAGAAGAATTCCTTTCCAATATGATGTTGGACATAACGGTGGATGTTCTTTGTGTTGGCAGACATTTAGATGGATCTCGCAACATATTTTGTATATCCTCTTTTAATGCTTATGGTTTTGCTTCGTGATTAGGGTTTGCTTTAGATCTTGGTGAGGTTTTGAGGAGGTTTAAAGTGGCTTATTCTTCTCCTTCTTCTTTGGATGCTTATTATTGTTGATGTGGATGCAAATGAAGCTTTGGAATTGATGGGTTCTGAAAAATGGAAGGTTTCCATAGAACATGGAGTCAATTGGTTCTTAAGGTCATTCGATGCTAGACATAATTGCGTGGTCTATTGCTTAATCATGATGAGCATCTTGTTCATGGGATTATTAAAGCTTGCGGAGTGTGATCTGATGTGTTCTTCTATCTACCTAAGGGAATGTTCCCTTGTGTTTGTTCGTTCCTCTTAGGTTCACAAGTCGTCCGTCGGCTTCTCTTTCACCTATCCATTGGAAATTTAGCTCCAGTTTCTCGCAATCAACCATAGACAAAAGAGACACAGTTTTTTGATGGTTTCATCCTCTCGCTAACATGATGAGATGAGCTTGAGATCGGAGTTTGGAGGGTACATGAATGAATGGTTCCCTCAAAAAAACCCCAATCACACGTATGTTGCATTCATCCACTCATGATCCTTAATGAATCTAGTTTATGCAATGAAGCCCACAGAAAACCGTTTTTTGTCTCTGTGGTATTTGGTCCTTGTTTGATCAACTCAGGTTTTCTTCCTCCTTGATTGGCTATTTACTCAAATTAATCTTTATCGAACTTGGTTCTTTTTATGCTTCGATTGCATCCCTGTTCAGTTTTGGCTACGCTCGATTCTCTTCTGTGATCTTCCTTTCATTATTTGTTCTTCCTTGGAGAGAACTGTTCCTCGAACAGAGAAGACTATGCACAAACTAATAATATATAAGGAGAAAGGGAATGATTCTGTCCTGGTAATTAATTCTATACATAGACTGTAGTAGCAAATCAAATTCGTGTCCAAAATAAAATCTAATTTTTGCTGTTACACATGAAATAATGAAGAAAGTTTAACATATAAGAAAATAAAATAAAAATAAAAATAAAATGGCCACTTACGTCCAACAAATCAGCATCGCTATAAACTTTCCATTTTGATATTTACGATTAAATAAATGATGTTTCGATCTTGTAGAGAGTCCTGCAGCACCTCTCTCCTCCTCCACAATCTACCACGGTGTTGATGGCTTCTGCCATCGTGGTGAGAACCAAGCTGTATCCCTTTGGGGCTCCATAGTTGATTTCACTGTTCTTTTTCAGCTAACACTGTGAATGACAAATGTAGGCATTGACTTGCAAACATTTCCTGGCCCAACAGGCTCAGTTATTTTTGTCCTTTGGGAGGACAAGCTTCATAAGGTAAGGTGGGTAACAACAAGTATCTCTCACAGCTTCATATATATATATATATATATATAAGATGAATTCTATTGTTAGATCTGCGTCAGAACTGTATCACTACTCTCTTGTGTTATCTTGTCACTGAGGTGTCACCAAGCTTTCTCTTCTTCTTCTTCTTCTTCTTTTGCTGCTGTGAGTTGGACGAAGGTGAAGTACGTCCATGGTCATAAAAGAATGGATGTTGATAGAAATAATAAAAGATAAGAACAATAATTGAAGAAGCTTTATTGTAGAAATGAAATAAAGATAAGA